GACTGGTTTGATCTTGTACCCAGACCACTCTAACTTTCTTCATATCAGCAATAAGGCTGTTTCGCTTCTTATCATTTGTGTGTTTACTGGAGTAGCACTTTTAATTTCCTTCAAAAAGTTTTCCTTTGCATTCACAATTTGGCTAACTATTTGGCACAAGAAGCCTAGCTTTCTGTCTATCTTAGTTTTTGACATGCCTTTCTCCCTAAGCTTAATCATTCCTAGCTTTTGATTTCAGGTGAGAGATGTATGACTCTTCCTTTCCTTTGAACACTTAGAGGCCATTGTAGGGTTTTTAATTGGCCTAATTTCAATATTGCTATGTCTCAGGGAATAGGAAGCCCTGGGGAGAGAGAAAGAGAGACGGCAACAACTGGTTGGTGGAGTAGTCAGAACACACACAATACTTAGCAATTAAGTCCACTGTCTTATATGGGCATGGTTTGTGGTGCCCCAAAACAACAGTAACATCAAAGATGAATGATCACAGATCACCATAATAATGAAAAAGTATGAAATATTAGTATTGAGAGAATTGCTAAAATGTGACACACAAACACAAAGTGAGCACATGCTTTTGAAGAAATGGTGCCAACAAGACTTGTTGACACAGGGTTCCCACAAACCTTCAATTTGTAAAAAGTCAGTATCTTCAAAGCACAATAAAGCACAATAAAATGAGGTATGCCTGTAGTATCTAACAACTGTCAAAAGAAATCTCATAGCTACCCCGCAAAGAGCAAGTGGTTTATAAGGCTCTCAGAAGGCAGCTGCCACTGTAATTCGCACCTACCTTGTAGCACTCATATCTCTCATAGGAGGTACCCCCAGGAGAGTCGGGGAAGATATATGGCTGTGGATGCTGACAGAACCAGAATTCTTCCTCCGCCTCCCTCAGCAGCTGGGTGGCCTTCCTCATATCCTTTTCATTCTTATGTTCTTCAAACCGGGCTCTCATCAAACAAGCAAAGTACCGGTATTTGTCCCTTAAACCAAAACGATTTTGGAGATTAGAAATGTTCTCTACTCAAGTGGGCAGTATTACCGTCTGACAGGAGGCTGCACTCCTACTAACACCTTCTGGATGAGTATGGAACATCCTGGCACCTCCCACAACCCTGTCAATGGAGCAGCCATATCATTATGACTGCTTCCTCTGCAGACTGCCGAACATCAGCAACAAAAAAATACTGTATTATTAATAAATACTGCCTAACCATTCTTCTCTCCTCCAACAAGGGAATGATGATTTAAACAAAAAAGGAAAAAGAGAATTAGCCAAAGAGAAAAGCTACAGCCTCTGTAGGATCATTCAACCTTATTCAGTGACAACTTACTCCATTTCCTTCTAGCTTGTGCTAGGCACTGTGCTAAATTCTGGAGATAACAAAGATGATAAGAAAGGAGGTGTTATATGGTACAAACAATATTGCTCAAATCATACAGAGCTGGGTTTGAATCCTGACTGACACTAGCTGTGTGACTTCAGGCAAGCTGCTGTCCGGTTCTGAAGAAACTGTGGGGAGAGATCAGTTATGAGGCTTTGACAATAATCCAGGCCACAGATACAAGGACCTGAAGCAGGCAGTGGTGGTGGTGACAGAATGGAGACAGGAGAGAGACATTTAGCTTACCAAGTTATCAGACTCTCAAGTCAGACTGCGCGGGCCTGAATTTTAGCTCTGCCACTAGCTGTGTGATCTGGGATAAGTTACTTACTGTCTCTTGGCCATGGGTCCCTCCTCTAAAAAACAATGTTAATAACAATGTCTATATACCTTGGGCTGACTTAGAGCTGAAACACATAAATACATTTCACACAGTGCTTGGTATATCCCAAGTGCTCAATAATGTCAGTTACTAATATTATTGCACTGGTAAGAGAAATTTACAGAACTCAGCGTTCAATTGTTCAATTATACACGGTGTATGTGTGTTATTGGCAGAGGAGTAAGTGGTAAAAAGTCCCCGCATTAAATAAGGCTGCCCAAAGTACCTACAGCAACATAGAGGGCCCAGGATGGAACCATGGAGAAGAGATAGCACTATGAGGGCAAATGGAGGAATTCAAGCAAGGACTGAGAAAAATGTCAGATTTTAAAAATGCTGAGCTGGTGCTATCATAGTAGCTAGTTTTATCATTTTCTCCAGGGCTATGGACTTTAATATTCCCAGCTGTAGTTCAGGATTACTGGAATTCTTTTTTTTTCAGGTTTAACTTTTAAAAATGGATACATAATATTAAGGTTATTAAGTATGAAATGTCCGATTTCCTTAAGTACTAAGTTTTATAGTTGATATCTCTGACATTTCACTTCGACACTTCTTGTTTTATTTTTATTGTGAAGGTACACCCACAGTCCTAGTACATGTTTTGGCTTGTGATTATCTTTCAAATTTTTTGTGAAACCATGGATAAGTCAAAAATTTGTGTTATTTTTGAATATGAGTTCTATCGTGGAACCAATGCAGTGCAGACAGCTTGAAATATCAATGAAGCATTTGGGAAGGATGTGGCTAATAAATGCACAGTATGTCGATGGTTTGAGTTCTGTTCTGGTGATTTTCATCTTGAAAATGAGCCATGTGGGCGACCTGAGACCAAGGTGCATAATGATGAGCTGAAAGCTGTAGTGGAAGCGAATCCATCTCAACCTACGTGTGAATTACCAGCAAAGTTCGACGTTACTTTTCCAACAATATTGGACCATTTGAAACAAATCAGCAAGGTATAGAAGCTGGATAGATGGGTTCTGCGTGAATTACACAAGCATCAGACAAGAAATCATCTCAAAGCTTGCCTTTCTTTGCTATCACGAAATAAAGGTGAACCATTTCTACACGGTATTGTTATGTGTGATGAAAAATGGATTCTTTTTGACAATCACAGGCGTTTGGCACAATGGTTAGAATACAGATGAAGTGCCGAAACACAGTTCAAAACTTAATATTCATCAAAAAAAGCTAATGGTGTCTGTTTGATGGTCCAGTGCTGTTATTATCCACCATAGCTATGTGAAACCTGAACAATCAATTACAGCAGCTGTCTACTGCAAGCAATTGGATGAAATGATGAGGATGCTTGCAATTAAGCAGTCCAGACTGGTCATTAGAGACAGGACAATCCTTTTGCAAGACAATGCTCAACTGATCACATGTCGCACAAACAACACTGCTCAAACTATAGCAGCTGGACTTGGAAACTCTCTCTCATCCACCATATTCACCAGACCTTGCACCAACTGACTACCACTTTGTCCAGGCTTTGGACCACTTCTTGCAAGGAAAAATATTCAGTTCTCAACAAGCTGTGGAAAACGCCTTTTGCAATTTCACTGCCACTTGCTCTCCAGGTTTCTTCACTGCTGGCATAAACAAGCTACCATTAAGATGGCAAAACTGTGTGGACAGTTTAGGTACATACTTTGATTAATTGTACTGTTTATTGTTTGAGATATAATAAACTATATGTTTGATTTGAAACTGGACACTTCATATTTAATGCCCTAATAATTGTAAATACTTATGGGATACATGTGATATTTTGACACATGCATACAATGAGTTATGATCAAATCAGGGTAATTAGGATAGTCATCACCCCAAATTTTATCATTTCTTTGTCTTGGGATACCTAAATTCTTGAAAGCTTGACTTCCTTCATCTTTGTAAGACTGACTGATATTATAATTCTGTTATCTATTTGTTTATATGTCCATTTTCCCCACAAATCCATGAGCTCCCGCAGCTCAAAAAAGGATTTACTAACTTTTATTTTTTTGGCATCCATCATAGCACCTGAACTGCAAATTCTGTCACATAAATGAATAAGGAAAACTCAGGGAAGAAACTAACAATCCTGCAACCATGGCCATCTTCTTGCCTGGCAAAGAGAAGTATGTCCATGACTTTCTAATAATCACAAATATGCAATCTGGACTTCAAGAATATCCTCTCCAACTCTTCCAGGCCTACTCAGTTTTCTATCATTTAGAGGCTTTTCCCAGAAACCCTTCTCCTGAAACTAGGTTTTAAAATTCCGACAAGAGTGGGGGTCTCGCATCCACACATCTGGGGTTGTCAGCCCGCCCTGCATTGCATTTAGGTCATGCGAATCTATATATTTTAACATTATGTTCTAAGACTAGTCTCAGGTGCACAGAGGAGGAAAGAATGGAACTATGTGGGAGGTGAAAAAGATTTGAATGTAAGGAAAAGGACTGAATGAAGCTAAAAAGAGAAAACTTAATAGGAGGGGTGGGACAATGATAATGTCTTGAAGTCATACTTAAGTTTTAATACTGGCTTGGCTACCAACTAGCTCTATGGCCTTGCACAAATTATTCTCTGTGCCTATCTTCTCATCTGTAAAATAAGGCTAAAATAATCCCTACCTCCTACAGTTGTTCTGCAGACTAAACAACACGTGTTGCACATATTATTATTGTTAACACGAGATCATAAAGAAAGCTATCATTTCGTGAGCACTGGACCTGTGACATTTACAGTTTTAGAAACATTATTTCATTTAATCTCCAAGCAACCTTTGTGCTGTCTCCTGTTTTACTTTTTAGAAAACTGAGACCTGGACCAGATAAGCAACTCTACAAGGTTTCGCAGCTATGGGCTGTGAGCCTGGATTCGAACCCGCGTCTATGCGCGGGCTCTGTGGGGCGAGAGGCCTTCCAAGGTGTCCCTTAAGTCCTTGAGCCGCCCAGTCCCCCGGCGCTTTTAGCTTCCATGAGGTCCCCGGGATCACCTCCCTCCCAGGCCCTGGGTCCCCCTCTCCCACCTGTGTATGCACCACGACTCGAGGTGGCGTAGCGCCCGCTTATAAAGCCTCAACACCTTCTGCTGATGGGTCAGGTAGGCCGCCGGCGCCGAGAACGCCATGACAGACCGCTCACCTTCAGCGGCCGCACGGCCTATCGGGAAACCGGAAGCCTGGGGCTGCGGCACCCGGCGAGACGGCCGGAAGGGCGGATCTGCTAGCTGCCACTTCCGCTTCCGCCGGGGAGGTCCTACGGCAGCAGTCATGACTCGCTTCAAGTTTATTGGTAAGAGGAGCGCTTTCCCCATTCTTGCATGTCGCTAACCAAGGATAGGGGGTCCAGGGAGTGCAAGTCCTTGCACTCTCCGGCGTTTTAAGGGTTGAAAGGGCCACTCAATGGAAAAGACCGCGGGGAGGCGTCTGGGTGAATACTGGTGATCAATGTTCTGGTTCTCGATTTAGGTCCTGGATTCACGAGTGTGTATTTATTTGTGAAAATTCACAAGCACCGTTATGATTTGGGCTCTTTTTAACATGTGTGTTGTAGTCAATTTGAAAAAGAGGAAGAAAACAACCCCCCAAAATCCAGTAGATGAATTTGAACTTTTTTTTGGTCCTTCTCTTTTGACTTATCTTGATCACTGTGCCGATGTTTGCTGGTGGGTAGGTGGGTGAGGAAGTGGTTTATATCTCAGAGGCCATTAAGTATTAGAGGAGCACTTAACAGAAAGAGACATGAATCACATAGAGTCCAGAAAAAGAAGATATTTGCCACCAAACGTAGCTTAGGTAAAGCAGCCTATTCATCAAGGGATAGAAGCAGCTCTAGTAACTGGCTAAGGAATGCACTTTAGGCATATCATATGTCAGAAAGAAAAGGACTATATGTCACCTATATGAGAGATTCTCACAGAAAAGGGAAGAACTTGGTGGCTGAGCCAGTGCAGAGTATCTTAAAGCCCAAGACACACTTGCATCCAAACCTGAATTTAGAAGTTTAAGTACACTGAATCAGCCTGAACAACCGACCCTTCAGAAGACTGTTCTAGGAAGAAGTATCACCTGGAATTGATCTCAACCAGCACCTGCCTCAGGGTAGGCATTACAGAACGATTTAGCATCCCATTTAACATCCATTCCTGTTAAGGTTGAGAAAGGACAAGGAATGGCTTCATAAATTGAGTCTCCAAGGTAATCTTCAATTACCTTTTAAAATTAGAGGCATAAATGTTTACATGTCAAATTTGCTTACTGTTCAGTTCCATGTTTTTCACTTTGTTTTCTAGTAAAAGATTGCTTTGGAAAAATTCTAATCTCTTTGCTGCTGACAAAGACTCTCTCTTTGACTAAACCTGAATCAGACTGTCCTGAGCTGGCTTCTTGACCAGGCCCCAACCCTGGGCTCTGTACTTGGCCAGCTGGGTCCAGTTTTAGGAAGAATTCTACCGGATCAGTTCAGTGAAAATCCCTGATCAGTTCCTTATCTCCCATCTTGTATATCCTGTCACTCTGGCCTGCCTTCAGCAGGAATCTGTCGATCTGAGTTAAGCCAGAATCCTCCCTTACCTCCGATGTTTCCTCTTAGTAATTTTTTGTCTGTTGATACCCACCTTATTTGGTGGCTATAAATCCTTACTTGTCCTTGTATTCAGAGTTGAGCCCAGTCTCTGTCTCCTTCTGCAAAACCCTCACTGTACTAGTCTTGAATGGCCTTCTTGAATAAAGGTTTCCTTATGGTCTTTAACATGTGTCATGAATAATTGTTTCTTTTACACTTCACAGAGGGAGAATGGACTAGAAGAGACACAAACCATTTCTATTTTCCTAATGATCAATGACAGTAGGTTACTATAGACTGAACCTCTGTGAAAGATTATTTTAGGCAGAAAATTTCACTGGGTAAATTTTCTCAGCCTATCCCCTTCTTTATCTAATTTCCTTCTCTTTCTTGTAAAGAAACCAAATGATAATTTCTTATGATCTGGGCCATTCTACTTGTTGACTAAAAATCGTGAGATCTATAAATTTGGAAAGGAGAACTTTATTTCTTATGATGGTTTGCAACCTGCAGGCCAGGAGGCACAGCCTCCGGCTGAGACTAAAAGCAAGCCCTTTGGGGACCCAAAAGATCAATTAGCCTCACCCCTTACTCTAGGACACCCAAATTATTATCTCCGTTTTTTGCTTTTTGTCCATAAACAGAAGGAAGGGGAGTCCTAACTCAGCTCCATGGGGGTAGCAGTCAGCCCATTGAGTATTATAGTCAATAGTTAGACTCGGTAGCCCAAGGACTGCCACCCTGCCACCTCCACCCTCATTAAGGCTACCAAAAAAATAATAATAGGATCCCCTCTCACGCTGTGTGTTCCTCATTCCATTGAAGCCCTTCTCATCTCTCACCATACTCAGCATATTTCAGCAAGCCAATTGACCTCCATTGAGACACTTTTTTCCTCATCTTCTAACTTGACCGTGGTTTGTTGCAGCTTCCTTAATCCAGCCACCCTTTTGCCTTTACTAAGAAAAGATGTTCCCCATGACTGTGTTGTCTTTACAAATGCCCTTCTTTTACTCATATAGACTTAAAGGAGACCCCCATTCCCAGTCCAGATTTTATCTGGTACACTGATGGATCCTTTCTCAAAAATTCTGCTGGCTCCTATCAGGCAGGCTACATAGTAGTCTTTCTGATAGAAACCATCAAATCAGGTCCCCTGTCAGGCACCTGACCGCCCAACAGGCAGAACTACGTGCCCTGCCTGAGGACTGCCTGCTGACCAAGGCTAACGCGGCGGACATTTATATAGACAGCAGGTATGCTTTTCTTTGGAGTTGCCTGTAGTTTTGGCATGCTCTGGAAACAAAGGGGTTTTTTTTTACTTCCTCTGGACAGCCTATAAAGAACAAAGACTTTGCTTTTGCTCTCTTAGATGCCATTCAGGCTCTTCTGAGCCCTAGCCATTATCAAAGTCTAGGGACATTCCTCTGACAAGACAGAAGGCAGCAAAAGCAACCACTTAGCGGATGTGGCAGTATAATTTCCCAATTATGCTTACTCAACGCACTACCTGCCCTTCCCCCCTTGCTCTTCCTTCTCCTGCCCCTCCCCATCTGAAGATCTCCTTTCCAGACTCTCACTATCTCAAAAGACAGGCTCAGAGTCTGAAAGAAGGAAATGGATAAAACAAAATTATACTTTCAGCCCCCGGACAAAATTATGGGACACTCTGTGCACTTAGGCCAGGAAATGTTTTTTCCTATCCAGTTACAGGGGGAACTCCTGGTTTATTGCTGGGGGCTCATTAAAGCTATAAAAATCTATCAGTGCAAGGTTGTAGAATATTTTTATAGTTTCCAATCAGGTCATGAACTCCAGTGTCACCACCTCCAGCCTGGAGATTACATACACTGGAAAAGACATCAGTTACAAGACTCCCTCCTGCTCCATTGGAAGGGTCCTTATCAGGTGCTATTAACTAATCCTTATGCTGCTAAGTTACAGGGAGTTGACTCTTGGGTGCACATATCTCATCTGAAAAAAGCGCCAATCTCTGCTGAGTCTTGGAAATTGATGCTGGTATCTGACATCAAACTCAAGTTACCCAAAGTCTTGTCTTTAGACCCAGGAAAAGGTGACAAAGTGAACTTTCACGAGACACAGGGCCAGACCTGTGTTCAGAGACATTGGGACTCATTTAATAATTTTGATTCTATCTAAATTAATGTAACTCGTTCTCTGCCTTGATACTAGATAATTTGAATGTTTAGCTATCTTTGAGCTCTCTCTTCCTGTCATTTTCAGAACTAGGCAGGGTTTATGACCCTCCTCGGAGGACATGATTACTCTATTCCTTATTAGTCAGTTGCTATACTGCCTTAAGGACGGTCTCCAAAGTTTGTCTGATAAGCCCCCTGAATTCATATGGGATTTATGGTTTTTCCCTTGGTTTGACTTTCTGAATAGCTAAAATGGTCATCCCCTCCTTTCCTTTATTCTCAGAGCTCTGTTAGCCCCTTTCCCACCTTTTTGTGATTGTCCCTCTTTCCCCATGCGTAGAATGGTGTGATATCACTTTGATTAAGCTATCCCAGAGTGCTGCCACTGGAGGAAGCCTATTGGATTACGGGATTTGCCAACAGCTTCCCAGATCCATTCGTGATAAATATGGGCCACGGATAATACCTGTCACTAACTTCTCAGATGTTCTCAATGTCACCACTTAACTAGACCAATGTCTTTCCCTGTGGACTTTCTGGATCCAATTGCTTCAAGACCCAAACATTAACACCGCTTGTTTTAATTTGTCCTGTCATTAATGTTGGAAACCTGTTCTATACTACAGGACTTCTTTGATCTATGAACTACTGGTTAGACAAATGTAGTTTAGATCAGATAAATAAAGTTAAAAATATGTCCCTACTATGCCAACAATACTTATATTTAAAATATCATGTAAATGGATTCTGGAGAGCTTGCAAAGGAAATGACACATGATTCAATTTGATATTGTCAGCACTTACCATGAATGAATCTATTGATGAACACACCCATGGGGGTATCACCTGTGGGCGCCCCCCACCCAGGCTATGTGTTTGTACATAGCATAGGGTCTGATCTGCCTGCACAGGGACAAATACACTGTTGCCTCAACAGCTTATGCATAGAAGGTTCATGCTTGCTAGGACATTTTGTAACCCCCTTATCCTTACATAAATATACTGAAGTACCATCTTTCTTTCTTCATTATAAAACTAAAAGCCTGTGCTAGGCTGGGCGCGGTGGCTCACGCCTGTAATCCCAGCACTCTGGGAGGCCGAGGCGGGCGGATTGTTTGAGCTCAGGAGTTCGAAACCAGCCTGAGCAAGAGCGAGACCCCGTCTCTACTAAAAATAGAAAGAAATTAACCGGACAACTAAAAATACATAGAAAAAATTAGCCGGGCATGGTGGCGCATGCCTGTAGTCCCAGCTACTCGGGAGGCTGAGGCAGTAGGATTGCTTGAGCCCAGGAGTTTGAGGTTGCTGTGAGCTAGGATGACGCCATGGCACTCTAGCCCGGGCAACACGGTGAGACTCTGCCTCAAAAAAAAAAAAAAAAAAAAACCAGAATTATGATGGTTCAATGCATAGAACTTATAGACAGGTAAAATCTATAACCGTACCTTTTGACTTTTACGTCGTTTGATAGATCTTAGGGTTTAATGGGTGCCTGCCTGCCTCTGTTCTGGTCTGGCCTGGGATGTTAAATTGGCTGTAAGTCCCTTGGCCACAAGGGTCCCACCTAGGGACTGGATAGACCTGGGCAGGTAGCCACACCACCCTGGCAACAACATGGGACAAAAAAGTTTGGCCATCAATGCCACCTATGGCAGACGTTGGCCAAAAGTGGGAAATGTGAAATAAAAATAAAACCCTAAGACACCTGACCGATTGAAAGGACCTCTCTTGGCCAAGGAGACTCCAGAAAAACTTCAAAAATGAAGTTTCTTGGCCATGATGAGACAGGTGGTTGGTCATGTCTCAGTATACTGCCTTCCTCCTCACTAAACATTACCAGACCTTCCCCCTCCTTAGAATTAAGCAGAAACCATCTCTGAAAAACGAAGAACAGGAGACCCCTCTGCTGACTTCAACCAACCACCTGACTCCCCTCCCTTTTTGCAGTTTCAACATGACAACTAACCGTTTTACAAAGCATTCCTTCCCGATAAATGACCGCTGACCACAGTCTGGTTCTGTTAAGTTTATAGAGGCTGTGCTCAAAGTGCCTTTGTGTCCTATGTTTCACCTTTTGACATATAGAGACTAATTTTACTGGATTTTAATGTTAAGTCTCCAGCCCAAAGTGAACATAGGACGTATGTAACATATATATCTGCTTACTACATATATGTGTGACCCCCTTCATGAATATTTATAACTCCTCTTCTAACTTGTTAAAAGTGTATATTTAGCCAACCCGTTTAGCATACACCTTCTGTCCCATCCTTCCTCCAGTGAAGTGCCAGCTTTTCGTCTCAGCTGGAGACTCTGCTTCCCAGCCTGCAGGTTGCAGTCTATCATAATAATTAAAGTTCTCCTTTCCAAATTTATAGATCTTGTGATTTTAAGTTGACATCTTGAACCCCTGAATTGTATTTATAGTAGTAGATGATGTTTGCATGTAAGTAGCTCTTTTAAAGGGTGCCAGTTGTGAATTCATCACCCTATCCATCTCTCTTGACATGCTGTTGTTCAAATATCTTTGTAGTTTTCTGCGTCTTGCTTTTTCTCTTGCTTTTTCAAATGCCTAGAATACTCTCTCCACTATCTCTTGGATTATCCAAATGCCGATTCATCTTTCAAGGTCTATCTTAGTGTTGGAGCAGACATTCCTGGGGGCCAGCTTGGCAGAAATCAGAATGAGAACATACCAAGAAGCAGCTAAAACTTTGCAGAAATAATGTAGGGGGTCTATTGGTAAGCAACTGCCCGCTACCCTACAAATTTAGAGATTCTCCTAGTGCTTCAAGCTAAAGGATGTGTATTTTAAATAAGGGAGGCATTTTTCTTGCCTCTGACTATCACAGTCTGACTTCATATTTTGTTCCCCTTGTTCTCTTCCACAACGGAATTTACCAAGAGTGGCCCTTGATTTTTTGGGGTCAGATAATTCTTGGTTGTGGGAGGCTTTTCTGTACATTGTAGGATATTTGGCAGCATCCGTGGCCTCAACCCTAGATGTCAATAGCACTCCCCTCAGTTAACAACCAAAAATACATGCAGACATGCTAAATCTTGGGAGTGGGGAAGGGGGATTGGAGGGAGAGACGTTCTCCACTGAGAACCACTGCTCTGTAGCCACCATGAAGCTCTTCCAGTCTTCTAGATACAGTATGTACCTGCACACATCTGTATGTAGAATGTCCTTTACCTTCTTCAGCTGAGAGGCCTAAGCTCTTTAAGATCCAGCTCCTCTGTAAAGCTTTTCTCATCATGCCTGCCCCTCCCTTGTGCTCCCATGCATGTAATTATTTACAGACTAAATGTGGATAAAGCTCCTATTATATGCCAGCCATTGTGCTATGTTCTAGGGATACAGCAGTGAAGAAGATAAACATGATTTCTTGCCTCACGTTGCTAACAGTCTAGCTAATTATATAACAGATTATATTTGTAGTTCTCATATGTACTGTAAATTCTGAAGGGTAGGGACGAAGTGTGTTGGGTCTTATTAATTTCTCTGTCCCTAAATTCCTTACATAGTATTTGGCACAGAGTTGGTCTTTGTAAGTATTTAGTGAATAAAGAAAATAATTTATTCCTCTGTGTCTCCACTTACATTACTCTAATTCAGGCTATCTTTGTTGCAGATATGAATTCTTGCCAGTTTCCAAATGAGACATCCTAATTCCAGTGTCGCCTTCAAATTCTTCCTTTCACAAAGACACCAGAAAGAGATGTCCAGAATGTAAATCTTACTCCTCTGCTTAAAAGCTATCAGAGCTTCCTGTTTCATCCAGTATTTTAAAGACAAGTGTCTGAGCATAGCTGGGTCTGGCTTCTGCCTTATACAGCATCATCCTTCTGTATCCAAGGGGGATTGGTTCCAGGACCTCATGCAGATATCGAAATCCTCACATGCTCAAGTCCCTTACATAAAATGGCATAGTGTTTGCATATTTTCTATGCACATCTTCAAGTATACTTCAGATCACCTCTAGATTACCTAAAATACCTAATACAATGTAAATGCTATGTAAATTGTTATGCTGTATTGTTGTTATTTGTATTATTTTTAATTTTTTCCTAATATTTTGATCAACCTGCATTTGCTTGCCAACTGTTCTTCCAGCAGCTGAGACAGCCTGTACTCTCTACAAGCACTGTGCTGTTTCCCACCCTGGAGGCTTTGCTCCTATTGCTTCCTCTGTCTATAGTCTCCTCTCTTCCACTGGATAACAATAACTCATCCTTTAAGATTCAGTTCAGGGATTACTTCTTTCTGGAAGCTTCTTCTGAGCCAGCCACCAGATTAGGTTGGGTGTTCCTCTTCTGTGCCCCATAGTACCATGTTTACATCTAATATTTTCATAACTGTCTGTTAATGAGTCTGCCTTACCAATTCTGCAGTGAGTTTCTTGAAAGCAGGAATTATATCTTAAATTCACCTTTGTATTCCACGTGTCTAGCACAGTAGCTGACATGTGGTAGGTACTTTGATATTGGTTGAATGGATGAGTGTGTGAATGAAAAGTTGAGTAACAGGAGCTTTTATTTAAAGTAGAAGTTTCAAATAGAGAGTCAATGATTAATCAGTTATTTTATTTTTGCTTTCTGTAGATATTGGTATCAACTTGACAGATCCTATGTTCAGAGGAATTTATAGGGAGGTTCAAAAGCATCAAGGTAAATGTTTCTTTTATTAAGGTAGATAGTTGCTCTATGAAGACAAATTTTCCACCTCAAGGAGATCTTACAAAGCATAATCTACTCTTACAATTGAAATAATAAAGAATTTCTCATCCTTGATAAAACTATAAAGTGAAACATATATTGGTAAACCATGACCATGAACAGTTATAAAGCACCTATGATAACGAAATTTTAATCAAGCCCTTCTTATCTGTGGAAGTTCATGATTTTATATGTACAACTTTAAATAATGATATACACAAGCCAAACAACAGTCAAATTTTTATTTACCAGATTTTCTTAATGTGGGGTTTGTCTTTTACAGATGACTTACAAGATGTAATAGGGAGAGCTGTCCAGATTGGTGTTAAAAAGGTACATCTGATTTTTGTTATTCTTGAGTTTTCTTGTTTTTTAACTAAATTTTTAGTTAAAGTTCTGCACAGTAGAAGTTCAAGAGCCAATGCCACACTTGGGCATTTAGTGTCTACATGGAATATTAGCAAGTTAATAGAAATAAAATATCAAAACATTCTCTTCCCAGGAATTTAAGTTACACAAACCTCATATATAGTTCTTTCATGTGATCAGAAATGTGATAAATAGCAAAATCTCTTTGAAAAAAAATTTTTAAGCCTATGTGAATTATCAGGTTTCTTAAGAGGCAACTTTTAATATATTTTATAGCATAATTTAGCATTTGTTATAATTAAGCAATTGTCAAAAAGACATGTATCTGTCACCAAGTCTAGCTTTTATATGGGCATACCATTTCAAATAACTGAGAGGACACTTTAACTTTTATAGCAATAAAATTTCTACCACTTTTTAAAGAATTCTAATAAGCAAATGAATATTAGCTCTGTGTCAAATTCTTTGAATAGATATTTCCTTAAATTAGTTTTTAAAGTAGCAAGCTAGCTCACACATGCACATAAGAAATGAGGTTAAATCCATAGTATGGTATCAGGACAATTGGTAGCTACTGCTTCTGAGTTGCATAGTCATTATTATTCATAAGAAATATGAAAAGATAAAAGTCACATTGATTTCTCATTTTGCAGTCACTGCCTGCTTGGTAAATCACCTTATATAGTGCTTTTCTGCAAACTGAAATACCAAGTTCCTATATATTTGTGTCAGCCATGAATAATTTAACCTTAATATTTCTATTCATTCTCTCTGTCTCTCTCTCTCTCTCTCTCTCTCTTTCTCTCACACACACACACACGCACACACATACTACTGACTTAGGAGTAACAGAACTGAAGTGATTTTTACTTGGGCATGGTTCCAAATTGAAATTTAATTCAGTACCTTGGAGTTATATTGTAGTGGTTAAAAGCATAGTTAGGGCATCACAAACCTGGGTTCCAGCCCAAGCTTCATTCTTCTTGTGAAGGTTAGGTAAAATATTGAATTTAAAGCATTTGGTATTATACCTGGCATAAACACACCTTCGTTATGTATATGCTGGAAGCCATCATCGTCATGTCATCATCATCATCATCATTGTACATTGGGAGAGGAAATGGTGCCCTCTAGTCTTGTCTTAACTTTTTCAACTATTTGGAAAGGTTATAGGTAAAGTAAAAAGTAGACTCGACTCGGTTAGAAACTATTTTGCATAATTGAAGTGCTGGATGTGGGCATGTGGTCCGGTATTAAAGAATTAGGTAATGTTAGTAACAAGAAAGTTTTCTCAACA